TTTTTCATCCAAATTCTTCAACTCAGTGCCGGAAATGGCATTTCCGAGCCTCAATTTTGAAAAAAATTTTGCCGGGGGAGCATGCCTGGATCCCCACCCCATTTTTCCCGCTCCTATTATGGAACTCTGTTACAGTTAAATCATGTTTTGCGTGCCATGTTTGCATTATTAACTATGGTTCCCAACTTAGCTGGAACTGATATTAGCCTACCCAAAATAAAACCTGTTCCGCTGCCACTGGTTGTGGAGTACAAGAAAGTCGATCACAGATCGTCCGAAACCCCCCTCCCCCGCCCCCCACCCCCAGCAATAGCACTATTGAAAAGGTAATTTGATGGAGGCCATGGCCGTGGGTCTATCGTAGTATTTCATGGCCAACCGAGTTACTATATATATATTATGTATTGATGTTCTCGAGTGCCGAGAACGATACCTGTGCACTATAGAACTACATCAGTTCACACTTCTTGAGAAGTGGCGATGAGACGAATCTGCTCCGAAACGAGATAAACATGCTAGCTATAATAATAAATTAATATACGTGAGGGGGGGGGGGGCATGGGAAACTGCAACGGTGGAGGACTAACTCCGAAGGAAACCAACGGCTCGCATCAAGAAAGGGAAGAGGGCCACGAACAACAGCACATCAATTGCGATGAAACCGACAGGGGCGACACGATGCCCAACCGAAGTAAAAACGAGACGGCTCGAACGAAACATGTAATCGACGGGCGTGCGAAGGATTACATGATCAGAGCGTACTAACGGTAAAGACGTCTCGCGATTCTGCACCAGCACAACGTACAACCCACCTGGATGGGGGAAACCGTAACATCCAACCAACCGAAGGGTGAGAGAAGTGTTTCTAGTGATTAAAGGAGGAGAATCAGAGTGTTGAGTTTTATAAAGTAGGGATGTAAAACCTCATTAGCATATATACCAGACCCCCCAAACCAACACAAACAAATGCACTCATTCTTAATATCATTTATTTCATAAATCCATTTAAAATTATGAAATTTGGAAAAAAATGTGCAAAATTATAGCAGAATTACACAAGCTGAACTACAGCAACATCATGAAAATCTTAGAAAGACCAAACACTAGTAATACAAGTCAGTCTAATTTTATTTCAATTCATTGGTAATAAAGACCCCATCTCATGCGGCATCCACCTCCTCTGTTGTCGGTATCATCTCTGTAGTAAGGAGTCCAGAAGTTGGCCAAGGCACAAAGCTTGCGATCAGCACCACCGCCACACTGTCCATCGTCACCATCTGGATACCATTCGTAGCACAACTGGATATTCTTCGCCCACGAACTATGCACAGATGGTAGTTTAAGCTGCCAGGACATTCCACACCCACCGCCGCGGTTATCGGTGTCGTCCCGGTAGACCGCCGTATATTCACCCACCGGGGCACAGAGTATGCTTTCCGCCCCACCGCCGCACTGACCGCTGTCACCATCCGCGTACCATCGGTAGCATATTTCCACGTTCTTGAACCACTCTGGGCTGTAAGGCGATTCAATGGACCAGCTCATGCGACAGCCGCCTCCTCTGTTGTCTGTGTCGTCTCGGTAATATTGGGTGGCTGCGTTGACGTTCGCGCAAAGATGTCTGGATTCGCCATCACCACACTGACCACCATCGCCATCAGGGTACCACTGGTAACAAAGTTTGGTGTAGTCCAAGAACCAGCTAGGAATCTTGTTTTCAAAAAGAAAAGGTCAAGTTTAGGGTTAGATTAAGGTCATATTAAGACTAAATTAGGGTTAGATGTTAGAGTCGGAGTTAGGGTTCAACATGCATCTCGAATTTATTGTATTGATAAATTCGGACGTGTTTAAATTTAGTCATAGTAAATTCAAAACCAAACCAAATTGGTTTGTAATGTATTACTTAATTTCATATAAATAACAGTGGACCATACGAATAACAATGGACCAATACCCATGTCTTTAATATACACGAGTAGCCTATTTATGCGTAATTATCACAAACAAAATCGCCCTTTTCTGACACATGATAACTTATTTTCTAATGTCATGGGCTTTTGCGTGGTGGCACAATCTTCAGACCTACCGCTTTTTACCTCTGAGAAAGTGCCTCGTGCATTGGGAAATATACAGATATACATGTGTTATTTTGTACTCGGCAATCGGGGATACTAAGTTAACTATAGAATACTACGACATACTGACTACAGACCTTTCCACCACCATTCACGCTTATAACATGAATGCACGACACTGTACACAACAATAACTGAAAAAAATACTTACCGTTGAAGCGATAGAGCCAGAGAAAAGAACGCAAGCAAGGGTCAGCGTTAACAACAAATATACACGCATGTTTAGAGAGATGTTGAAGCGACTACGACCACTTTGACTTTGAATAGAAGCCAGGGTTTAACTGCCGCTTATATAGCTACCGCGTCGCATTTTGTCATGAGTGCATGCGCAAAACTTTCGTTTCAGGAAAGAAAAAAAAAAGAGTGAGGGCCTGAGGGGGTGTTAGTGGTAAGCACTTATCATGCAGTCATAAAGAGGTCATTAAAACAGGAAAACGGTGTCACACTGATGAGTGACTTGTGTTCCCCTCATCCTCATGTAATCCGTTACTCCCATCTCTTTAAGTGCTATAAGTGCTCACCACTAACATCTCCTGACGCATTAGTCGTTACTTATGCTATATATTCTTAATACTGTGACGCAACTTCATTTGTATACAGGGTGTATCAAAATAAACGCAATTCATCTTTTGTGCTTAATAACTTTCGAAATACTATTTCTAGTTAAACGCTTTTAGGCTTACTTCAAAGCCTGTTCTTTTCTCTTTTAAACAAACTATTATCCTTGTCTCCAATGCTAGTAATAATTGCACAGGAAAAGATTTTAGTAAAACCTATCATTTTTAGTTGCTGTTTAATTATGCAAGTTTACTATATGTTATTGTTTAGTCGGTTTAAATGTTAGAATTTTCTTCTTTAAACTTTAATGTTGTCGTCACTACATCTGGAAAACCACGTAAGAACAAATTAAAAGTATTTTAAAAGAGACCAGGTTGTTTGAAAATCCTAAACGAATGCTAAAAATCATAGAATCAAAACATTCTGGTGTCTGAGCCAGAGTGTCATCGAATTGTGATGTAATGTAAACAGAAATTATAGCAAGCTGATGTCAGTCAGCTTAGATGGTCCAAGCCAAAATTATATCGCATTTGAAGTTTCAAACTGTGTTAAAAATAGTGGAAGAAAAGCCGTAATTATACTTATTGTTACAATCCATTTATTAAAATGCAACATGTTTTTGTTTTAATGAAAAAACCCAGTTATTTTCATGAGAACGATTTGTTATTCCATCTCAATTTTTCTAATCTCCAATCGCAATAACGTAAAGTATTATTACCCGCGAACCAATGAGTCAATTTTAAGAAACAACCCACCGTTAGAAAGCTGAATGGCTACGTTTTAAAATGAATGTAAACTTTAACGTTTTCGTCTATTATTTGTTTAGCAATTTACATTTCAGTCGAGGATTGCGCTTTTTTGATACACCCTGTATATATATATATATATATATATATATATATATATATATATATATATATATATATATATATATATATATATATATATATATATATATATATATATATATATACATATATATATATAATCTGCAGACATGCATGTTTCGGCGTCCTACGCCTCATCAGTGCAGCTTGGTACACATCTAGACACGCAATGACTTTCGTATTGATA